CTTGTAAACTTCTTGTTTTCCTCTGCTCTGAGCAGCCTGCAGCTGCTCTGAGCAAGAGACCCTGATGGCATGGGAGCGGGTTCTGATGAGTCTGCAGCTGAAAGATCCCGAGAGCTGGGGCGGGGCCAGAGCACGATAAAAGATGCCCCTGAGCACACAAAAAGAGGGCATTCTTGTTTCAAGGATGACCCAAATCCCCGTGTTGCTATCTGTGTGTATATGTGTTTAAATCTCCAGCCCTTTGCTCGGCTCACGAATGCGAACTGTACCGCAGCGTGTAGCACGGAGAGTATAGTGCAGGCACTGCACTATAGTGTAAGGCACTACTGAAAACTAAACTGAATGTTTTTTAATTTTGTTTTCATGGGTTTTCTGTGTCTCTATGTCTGTAGTGTTTCTGGTGGGTTTTCTTTGACCCTTTCTTTTCATTTCTTTCTTTTGTCTGATTCTAGTTTGCTTTTACTTTCATTTTATCTTATTTGATTATGATTTCTGATTCCTGTTTTTTAATGAGACAGAAACAGACAGAGACAGAGACAGAGAGACGGTGAAGAGCTGGAAGCAGTTGGGGGAGGGGAGCCATAGTCAGAACATATTGTATAAAAATCATTTAAAATAATCAGGAAAGATACAGAGCAAAATACAGTGAAACACAATTCATAAAAAAATTCCTGTTCTAAAGGACTGCGGTTACATAACTGGTATTTCCTCATAGTGAGAAGGCATGATACAAACTAAAGTCAAGAAGAAACAAGGATAGAATTTTAAAATGTGTAACATGTGGCTAATTCTGATATATTAGTACAAACCATCAGTGTTAAAAATTGAAATGATCATTTACTTCAGAAACCAGTAGACAGATTACAGAACACGGCAGCACAACCATGAACATCTCAACACTTCACAGGTAGAAGAAGGGGCGAGAACTCAGGCCAGCCTTGGCTACAGGACCAGTTCAAGCCAGCTTGTGGTACATGAGAGCATGGTCCAAATTAAATAAATAGGGTTAAAACTTTTAAGTGAGTTAATATTTTAGCAAACAAAGAATCAAAGGAATTTCTGAATTTGATGAAGAACATAGGAGGTTGCACAGGGCACACCCCTGTTTCTGGTGAAACACTGACGGCCTCTATCAGGACGTCTCCATCAGGAGGTAAGAAAGGACACCAGTGGCTCTAGGGGCTGGAGACCTGACTCAGACGTTAGGAGTGACATGCTGCACTTCCAGAGGACTAGTCTTCAATGTCATCACCTGCATTGTGTGGGTCACAATCACTTGGAACTCCAGTTTCAAAGGATCTAATGCCATCTTCTTCTGCTGTCACCGTACTGCTGTGCACACAGCCATGTACTGGCACACACACACACACACACACACACACACACACACACACATTTAAATAAGTAAAGGTAAATCCTAAAATAGAAGAATGACTCCCTCGAATCTGTTAAGTTAAATAATGGATATTCTTTTCAGTGGACTAAGAAAGGAATAAAATATATAAATGTTCAAAAGGAAGAAATTCTGATTTCTTACTTATAGTTCACATAATCACTTGTGTGGAAGGTTCCCAGACAAACTGCAGAATTAAAAAGTGAATTTATCTGCATTGTCGTGTACCTGGATGATACAAAAATTTAAATTTCTACACAAAAACAATAAACTATAAAAATAGATTTTGAAAAAGAAACTTGTAATAGCATTAGTCAGCATTAAATACTTGTAATATATTAAATAACAATAGAAATAACTATTCACAGGCAAGTATTAAAGTGGAGTGTGCCAAACTGAAGAAGGCTTAGAGAAAATGGAGAGATGTGCTATGTTCATAGTAGCTATACAAACACACATTTCCAGCCACCTGTTCAGTATCACCATTTGGTGTAATAGAATTTTCTGTATTACATATTACATACTTAATTCATGCTCTTTACATATACCTGCCTCTCGGCCAATCTTCTCTACTAGCAGATGCAACTTCATAATTCCTGTTGTTTGGACCACAAATATTGGTGACATCATATTTGAATTATTTCTATTAAATGTTCTATATACTTCTTTAAACAATGTTTATTTAGCCAGACATAGTGGTGCATGCCTTTAATCCCAGCACTGGGGAAGGGGAGGTAGAGACTGGTGGATTTCTGTGAGTTTGAGGACATCTTTGTCTAAAAAGTGAGTTCTAGGATAGCCAGAGCTATCTAGTGAAACATTGCCTCAAAAAAAAATTATATGTGTGTTTTGCCTGCATCTATGTATGTGCACCACTTGTGTGCAGTGCTGGAGGAGGCCAGAAGAGGTCATCGGATCTCTCGGGACTGCCATTACAGAAGGTGGTGAGCTGCATATGTGATGGGAACTGAGCCAGGGCCTTCAGCAAGAGTAGTGAGTGCTCTTGACTGCTTAGCCTATGTGCTCCCCAGCCCCCTAGTTATATTCTTATGTGTGGTCTATGAGAAAGTACTACAAGTTGTAACAAGAAAACACACCCAGTCCTCCAGTGCAACTGTGGGATAAATCTCTATAATTTACTGTAAACCAGTGGCCCTACAGCTCTTGCCTCCTGCCCCTCTCTGTGTTCACTCATGTTTTCTAAGCCATAATGTGGCATATGATATATACTAGTAATTAATAAATTTGTAAGACTAAAATAACAGAGAAAGAACAGTTTACAGAGGAAATTGATTTTAAAAAATTATATCTAAAGTGCCAAACAGATGTCCAGCTGTACGGATATAGCTATTAGGAGTTCCACAAGAGTCTAAAGTTCAAAACTGGATATTTATGAATTATTTGGTGCACGGAAAAATATGAAATAGGGGTTGAGTATAGGCAGGAAAACAATTGAAGAGTAAATGGCAAAAGAGATTAAAAAGATAGCCTCAAACTAAACTTCGGAAGCTTTGGAATTCGTTTTTCTTTTTCAATATTGAGGTGCAGTGAGTACACAAAGATTTGATCAGAAGCCTAATAAGTCAACCCATTAGTGCGAACTGTGGGTTCCTATTTAAGGTTTGTGTTTAGTGTGTTCTTTTGATAACGCCCTCTGAAATAAGTCATAAAAGCTAATAAAGGAAAGCACGTAAGATGGCTCAAACAGGTGAATCCATTTAAAATTGGGAAAGAAATTCAGTTGGCGTCCTGCTCTTGGAACAGATGGTGACCAAAAGTCACACTTATCTTTACCAGGAAATTACTGTTCTCTTTCTGGGCAGATGACATGGTATCAAATGACCACAGAAGTCTGGCGTAGCATTCCATCTGGTTCTGGTAACAGAAACATTCACGTGGGCTCTGCTGCCCACCACTGACCACTGACCCTGAAATGCTCCTCCACTCCCACCCTCCTCCCTTGTGAGCCGGAGTCTCCGAGCCGCTCCGGCTTTAGCCTCTCTCGCACCTGATTCTGCCTTCTGCACTACAGGTGTAGCGACCCGAGATAAAATACATACTTACCTAAAAGCTAAGTATCTATTAAATTACTACAGAGAAAGGCACTTAGAACGCTTAAATAAAATACTGCTTGTCTGCGGGAAAGATAGACTAGCGTGAGTTGTCAGTGAAGGAAGATGTGTAACCAGTTTCTGAAGAGACGTCTTTCTCAACGCTGGGTCTGACCCTTTCAGGGGGTGCCCTTGCCCTTCTAGACTCCTTTAAGATTTGCTCTTCAGCAGAAAATTAAAGAGGGGAGAATGAGACATGCCTTTGTCTTTACTGACTTTGGTCCTACAGTGTGTGGTCTCATCATCCCCGCCTCTCCCTGGGTCTCTGTGCTGCGCAGTTGTCTGTACCATGCACGCAGATCTGTCCCTGGCTAGCCAGACTTCCTTACTTGCTTCGTGGAGGTCAAGCCTTACGGACTCCACATGGTTGCCATGTTACTCACTCGTCATCTTCAGCTTTATTTTCCCAACCCCAGCGAGACTCCTAGACTATTGATTGCCAACTCTGAACTCTATTTGGTTCCTCAAAGTAATCTTTTTGGTCAAGCTGAAGAAAACCCTGTACTGCTGGGGTTGGCTGTGCTGCTGTGTTTGCTTGTGCACAATAGAAATTACCATGTCACATGGCAAAAATGTTACCTTCCACCGGTCCCTAAGATCACTCTAATTTCTGCAGGCAACAGAGCAGAAGGTACCCCGGACACAGTCGGGATGCATCCCCTACCAAAAGCAGGGAAGTGGGTATCTTTAGAGTTTTTAGATACATTTTCAGCTTTAAAAGTATTTCTTGACATCCTAACCCAGGCAATAATAAAAATATGTTTTTAAAAATTGAAGCAAGAATAAATGAACATATTCACTTAACACCTGATACTCAGCCAAAAATAACTTGAGTTACAATACTATAAATCTCCAATTCTCTTGGTAGGTGGAGGCAGATAACATTTACCAAGAACTGAGAATTAAAAGTAATTTAAACTGGGCACAGTGGCTCAAGTCTTTAGTCCCACCTCTCAGATCTCTGAGTTCAAGGCCAGCCTTGTCTACAGATCAAGTTCTAGGATAGCCAGGGCTACACAAACAAACCCTGTCTCAATGGGGAAAAAAAGTAAGATAACTATCTGAGTGAAATTAATGATGAGTAGGGACTTTCAACTATTTAAATATTGATTTTTCACTCCAAAGAAATACTGTTCCTCGCCTTACAAAATTAATTAAGCTCTGTGTTAATTAATCACTATGCCTCTATAATGAGAGGCTGCCAATCACCTTGTCAGATTGTTTACACCTAAAATCTTAGCCTAAAATTTGTCTGGTTAATGATCTAAGTTAAATTTAACCCATGTCTCAGGACATCATCCCGATCACAGCAGGGCTTGTGGCTTTCGAATCCCACACAGGCTTCCTAGCTTCCCCATTGGGAGCATGGGGACCATGGGAGAGGGTTGAAGGGGAGGGGAGAGGAAGGGAGGGGAGCAGAGAAAAATGTATAGCTCAATAAAATCAATTTTAAACAAGATTTTTTATTGCCAAATATAAAATAACAGTGTAACAGGATACTTTTAGACCTAAGAGATGTCAAAATGGAAGAAAATGTGTGACAGACACATGACAAAATGCTTATATGTTTCAAAACCTGCCCAGAACAAAGGTTTAAGGGATTTTCATATTGCCAAGCTCCTTCCTTGTATTGGGTGGACCTGAGGGTATCTTTAAGCAGTTTGCTATTTGGGGCAGTGAGGTTTTCCTTTCCATGTTTCCCTGTGGAGTAACAGCTAAGGAGATGAAGGGAAAGCCATGAGTTGGGGGAAAGGAACTCACGGAATGCAGCTCACCTGGGGACCAGCCCATGGCTGCCTCCAAAGAAGAGCAGAAGTGTCTCCTGGCCAGTCTGTAGTCGGGACCAGACAGTGGCTTCAAGCATCCTTTCCAGTGAGGCAGTTAATAGCTTACCTGTGGCTGTGGAGTACACAGAATAGGTGAGTCTTAATTGAAATATACAATTTTAAAGCATAAAAGAATATAAGTGGTCTCAGTAATATTTTATATGGCAATCTAAGTAAGGTGAAATTGATGTCTTAAATAGATTAGCAAAAATAAAATAACTAAAATTATTTCATTTTCTTGAACTACTTTAAGGGGACTTCTGAAATTTGTAAAAGTGCACCTGAGTGGTATCTTCTCTCTGAGACAGCTGTGGTTTGGAAGCAGCATCTTCCACAAAGAAGAGCCCGGCTCCAGAGGCCCCCAGAAAGACCATAAACAGAGGCCCTGTGGGCACGTGAAGCTGGCCGTGGACAAAGAGAAGCCTGCTTTGTTCCTTGCTCATCCTGAGCTTGTTCTCATCCCTACAGTGAAGCCCCTCATGGTCAGCATCACTGACAAAGACAGTCATGGTATTTATTTAGACGTTATCTTCTAATCACTTAACCTGGTGGGGCAAACCTAACGACAGAGCAGTTGGTCTCAGATATGGTTCCCGGATCCACAGTGGCCGCTGGAGACCGTGTCAGACTGCAAACGCATGTGCCTGACTCCGGAGTCACTCACCAGAATCCCTGAGGCAGCTGTAGTGTTGCAAACCCCCCCCCCACATTGCTTCTGATGGGTATGAGGTTTGACAGCCTCTCCCTGTGAGTCAATAAGGGGCCCCAGCGCTCCTCCAGGCTCAGGCAGCGTTAACCACTATTAAAATCTGTTAGCCTCATTTTTAGTGTTAATTATGCTCTGTAAGCTTACGTCATGAGCATCCCTGGTCATCTTGTCTTCCCTATAAAAAAGAAAATATAAGGAGATGGGGCTATTTGACTCCCTAGTTATCATCTCCTGCCTTCTTGCCCTGACTGCTCTGTGCAAACTGGCCATCAGCCTAACAGTCAGCCAGCTGCCCTTGTGCCAGAACCAGCTACCCTGAGAAACCTACGAGAGGACTGGGCTGCTCCCTTCAACTCCTGGAGGTGCAGCTTCAGTCAGGGATGTGTAGAACCATTGATGCCAGAGGTTTTTTTTTTTTTTTCAACTTTGAGCGTGAAATAACTCTAGACAAACCCTGCACCATTTTCTCCCATGCCAGAGAAGTACTTCCTCTGGTGATCTAGTAGAGGGATTATTATAATCAGTGCTAAGAGGCAAGGCTGTCATTAGTCCAGAGAAGTGGTTGTGATTGGTTCAAATGTCCTCGGTGCCTCCTGTTGGGTCCTTTAACAGTTCTCCTCACATCACTCAGGGAGTTGGCTGGGAGACGCTCACCCAAGCTGCTTCCCCCGAAGCAACAGCTCCCAGAAGACTTTTGCCAAGAGGTTTTTCAGCACTTACTTTCAGCAGTGCAGGGTTAGCTGGTTATACAGGGACAGGGGCAGCAGAGACAGAAAGAATGGTGGCAGCGGAGTGGCAGGGAGGCAGAGAGAGAACAGCCCTGGCGTGGGTAGCTTGCACCAAGGGACTTCAGCAGAGGCAGGTGTACCAAGCAGTTCCACCAGCGGAGGCTAAGTTACAGGAGTCAGGCAGCGAGCTGGCTGACAGCAGGCAGTTGTCACAGGCTGATTCACAGGCAGCTGAGATAAGAACATCAGAAACAGGCAGGGAGTGGGCATTGAAAGCCAAGACTCAAGAGTTATGGAGTATAGTAAAGAGCCAGAGACGGGTCAGAGGTGCTCAGAAGAGTTCCTCAGAAGAACTCTCAAATCTTAAAGGCCAAGGAGATCAGGAGATGGGGCTCCTGAATGTAAACACTGATCAGTGATGAGCATCTAGACCCACACAAGAACTCTTAATACCTGTAGGGCTGGGAGTCCTGATACCCAATCCTTGCGTGCTTGCTGTGACATTGGTGTCATCAGTTGCTGTCCCTTGTTGCTGCCAAACATTGGGTGCAGAGCAACCCCTGAAAACCTGCTTTCTGACTAGGGAGCTGTGATACCCATCCACCAAAGGTGTCCTCAGCGAAATGATTGGTAGCAACTCCACTCGGTTTAAGAGTTATCAGATGAATCTTTAATAAAGTTGTAGCCCGTTTAGTAGAGGGCTTGCCTAGCATGGATGAAGCCCTGATTTGATCTCCATCTCTGTATCAAGCAGGTATCTTAGTCCATGCCTATATAGCCTAGCACTCAGCAGCTCAGGAGAAGGAACAGGGATTCAAGGTCCTCCGTGGCTACATGGCTGAACATCCTGGACTCAGGAAGATACAAAAGAGGTTTGTGCTGCATTGGGGCTCAATGCGCAGGAGCCACCCAGAGTCTTTCCAAGGCACTGCCATGGGAGGGGGGGACTCTACCCGTCTTCACTTGATCCACCCACAGTAGTTCCTTTTCTTCCACAGAGACAGAGTCCTAGACAGAAGATACTTAAAGGACAGAAGACTTCCCTTTGCCCACAGATTGAGAGGATCCAGCCCACTGTGGTAGAGAAGCCATGATCGGTCCAGGGTGCCTGGACGCTTCAAACATCAGTGAGCCAGAAACTAGATTGCTCAGCTCATCTGGAAGTGGGACCCAAGTGGAACCTTTATCCCTCAAGGTCATTCTCCCTACACCCCACTTCCTCCAGTGAAGCCCCTCCTCCTGAGGTGTCACAACCTCCTAACACAGTATCAGCAGCAGCCCAGGGGTCTATGGAACACTTCACGTTCAAATCATAACCTGACTTGAAATTCAAAGTCTGAAAGAGAGCGTTGTATTGGTCTCTATGTGTCAACTGTTAATCATTTGGCCAGGGTTGGAGAGGCCATCTTTATCAACAGTTCCATGAAGAATGTATGCATGCAGTGTGGGCAGTTTAGTTACCAAGGAATCCCCCAAAATAAACTTAAGAATAAGGAAGAAGGAGATAAATATAAATGAAGGAGGAGGAGGAGGAAGAAGGAGGAAATAAGAAAGAAGAAGAGTAAAAATAACCATAAGGATGTCTGAAAAAAAATCATAAGGAGTCATATGACTATTACCACAAAAACCTATAATGCACACAACTTCTTGTATAAATATACATATAGCTTTAATTAACTTATCTGGGTTGATAATGCTCCCTCCAAAAGCCAACGACCATCTAACAAGAAATCCAGTACCAGATGCAAGAAACCCTCTTTTGAGTTGTTAGTCAAGGCTGCCTCAAAGATTTCCAAAACATTCATCCTGCTGCCATTGCCCACCAGAAGTGGAAGGTAAGTCCCTCTCATTGTGTACTTCAGAAACGAGGCCCAGAGGTTCCTAGGTTGGAACTGATACGAATTTCTCCTCCTTGAGAACTAGCTTTTATGGTACCAGAAGGTTCCATGTGAGTTTCCAAAGGAGGGAGACAACCAGCAGTCCTTCCCAGCTATACATCAATGACCAGCATGACATGACAACCCTGTGGGTGTAGTAGTGGCATGTATACCTTGGCAGTAACCAACAGTTCTCTAATTGGACTTAAGACCCACAAGAAAGAAACTATGCCTGGTCCTGGAAGCCTGCCTAACTACTCAGTGCTAGTGAAGTCGTGGATACTAGAGGAAAGCCTACAGCCACGTCTTTACTAAACTAGTATACCCCCCAGCAACAAGCTAAATATTTGTCCCTTGCCTACAAATTGAGTGTAGCTTCTATCCCTTGTCGAGGAAATTTCTCTTTGTAACAGATGGAGACAGCTACAGAAAACCACAACCAATCAAAATGTAGAGTTGTGGAGTCCACCCCCAAGGGATACATCTACAAAACAGTCCTATACGTAAGGCTCAGAGAACATTGTGGGAGAGGGCACAGGAAGGTTGTAAGAGCCAGAGGATCAGGGAGTTGATGTCTCCCCATGGTGTCAGAAGACTTTACACCTGTAAAGTCTCACCAACGTGACTGATGGAAATGTGAGCTGAGCAAGGCCGACTGACATTAATAGACATGCCAAAGTGAATAGGGAAAAGTCCGCAAAAACCTCAGCCTTATACAAATAACTACAGGTAACTAAGTAATACTGAAAGCTGGAGAAACAGTCTTCCCCAAGGAAGAGCACATCAATTGGTTACCTATGCCAAACAGTCAGTTCTAAAAATAGATAAATAGAAGCAGCATTTTATAAATGAGAAGGTTATATTTAGGAATATATATATATATATATATATATATATATATTTGTGTGTATACATATATGCATATAATAGCATCTAATGAAAAAAGAAACCATGAATTTGAAAACAAACAAGGAAGCTTATGTGGGAGGATTTAGAGGAAGGAAATGGAACAGTAAAATGTTGTAATTATATTATAATCTAAAAGATAAAAATTAAAAAATATCTAGCAACTAAAAAGAGAGAGAGAGAAAGAGAGAGAGAGAGAGCTGAGAGGTAGTGGCTCATGCCTTTTGTCCCAGCACTTGGGAAGCAGAGGCGGCTCTCTGTGAGTTCAAGGCCAGCCTGGTCTACAAGAGCTAGTTCCAGAACAGTCTCCAAAGTTACAGAGAAACACTGCCGAGAGAGAGAGAGAGAGAGAGAGAGAGAGAGAGAGAGAGAGAGAGAGAGAAAGGGAGAGAGAGGGAGGGGGAGAGAGAGAGAGAGAGAGAGATCACAAATCTCTTAACCGCAGACCAAATTGCACATGCTCAGCTGGGAGAGGTCAGCCTCTGTTCAGAGCCACCTTGCTACTAAGAGCACACTCAATACCCCATCCCATCCTGCATCATTCAATCCCATTTTGGCTCCTCAATCACGCCCTCTGTCCTCTTATATGGTATAGTCTCAGCTCCTTCAACAAAGCTGGCTTTTTCCCTCTAATTCCATTGATTCGATGACTTGGATGTGGTCCATTCAGTTTTCCCCCGGGACCTTTTCATGCATCTCTGTTCTCATCTTCTCTCTTGCCATTCCTCTATTTCAAATACACTCACCCAAAATGTACCCTCCTACCAGGCACAATTTGAGCAGCCTATAGAACTTTACTAGAGCAGAATTAATCCAGCAGTCACATGTAGAAAGACAGCAGGCATGGGCCACC